ATCCTCTACTGCTACCATCGGTTTCAACGCCTACACCCACACACAAAAAAAATCCCATCTTCCACCACCCTTGATATCACCTTCCATCTCGATGCGTATCTCTCAGCCATTTCTTCCAATTCATCAATTCTTCCGCCCATCCGCTGCTTTAACTTCTCTCGAGAATCCTCTACGATAGATCCAAGACCCTCTACTTTAACCGTCACCGCGCCACATAATTCTCGCAGCTTTTCAAGACCTACTACAACTCCCCCGCCAGTCGACTCGATCAAGACCGCCCTCTGGCTCAAACCGTCCAAATGTTTTCTTATACTCGGCAATTCCTCCGACAGCTTCCCAACCTCATTTTCACATTCTGCGATTTCTCTAAAACTCTCCGGAACAGTAGATAGTTTCCCAAGAGATGATTCAAGTCGCTCCGAAATCGATTTTATTTCCTCATTAACTCTCCGCTTCAGAGATATCACCAACTCCAACGAGAATCTAAGGTCCACGACAATAAGATTCAGAATAGGCCCAAAACCATACCGTTCGATTTGCTCCTCCACCACGGCTTTCAATATCACCAGATGTACCATAAAACAATCAACTTTCACAAAATCCGGTATTCTCTCCAACTCTCGTTTTTTCCTCCTCATTTGCTTCAAATTCGCCTCCCAAATAGTCTCGTCAGCATCATCATAAAACTCCACCAACTCCACCAAGCGTTGCTCTCCAACACTTCCCAGAACCTGCGGCAATCCAAAGGTCGCCGGATCGATCCCCGGTAAGGACACTTCTACCCCCCAGCACTCCACTTCACCTCTTTCCCTCTCGACCCTATCAAATAGGTCTTCCGCTTGAGAATAGGCCAACACCAATGCCTCTCTCACGCCCGAAGATACTAAAAGATATTCTTTCCTGTGCGGCGGAAATAATATAACCTTCCGTAATTTTCTTGAAAATTCTGGGGACTCCTCCAAAGCCTCTGATGCTACCAACTCGTCCTACAAATTTCAAAACTTCGCGATAGTATTTCTGACAATAGAAAAGATTCGTCCAAATCGATCACGCGATCGATTATAACCTTCCGGAGTTCTTCGATCGGCGGTTTCAAAATTACCCTCTTTCCACTGGACAGAATATCAACACGTATCTTAAAGTGGGAGAAAAACTCCGAAATTGGCGATTTTTCACCCATTACATCCGGCAACGTTTTATTAAATGTCTGAAGCCCTTTTATCAGCTGTACTTCAACGACGGCTTGCAACTGTCGGTCTAAATGCGCTCGCCACAACAGAGTCGAAGAATCCTAAAAAATCATATCCGCCAAAAATTTCGCCCAAAAAACTACATAAAAAACAAGCGAAAATAATTAAAATATAATAACATAATCTAATAATTTTTCCCGAAAAAATCACTTCAAAAATTTTGACGAATTTTCAGTAAAAATTTAAAATTTCCCGATTCACCTTTTCCGAAGCCCCGACCATCTCAGCAGCAACTTCAACCTTCCGCTGAAGCTCCGACAACGCCGATTTCCAACGCTCCCCTTGCCGTAGCAACGACAACTCACAAAGGCCGATAATTCCACTTAAAATCTGAACACGACAATCTCGCTACGCCCAGATGATCGATTTCATCATCAACCCACCTGCTCATGTGTCGACCTGAGGTTGTCATTCAACTTCTTCAATTTTCTTCGTCCCTCTTCAGCCCGCTCAACAAAAATGCTAAGCTGTTCGACACCCCTCCAACTGGAAAACTTCGATTTCGTCAACAACTCCTCAAAAGCGAGAGCCTCTCTCAAGAGCATTGGTTTTTGAAATGGTAGAAGATCCAATGAAAGTTGATTATAGAAAATACATACTTCCCTCAAAGACACCGCATACCGATAATATCTCTCCCCCGCCTCCACCTCCGCCGAGAGATTCTTCGTTAACCTATACCCTGCATTCGTGAACGCCCGAGCCTCTTGGGTAGCAAGGAGTAGTCTACTATTAAAAGTAACTTCAAGATCGCCCTCCGAATTCGTTGCGATCACCGCAGCCGATGCATCCAACCAAACCGACGAGGAAGAAGGAGTCACCTCCGCACACCATTTCTCAAAAAGCGCATCCCTTCGGCTCTTCATCAACCTATACATTTCCCGACACGATGCTACCATCTCAGCTGCTCCCGACAAATCGCGTAGGAAGCCCGAAGTCGGCATCACCCCAGAGGCTATCAAATCCACTCTACCCCTCATCAACGCCAACTCCCTCAACTCCTCCAAG